TGGAACCACAGATTAGGATGCTTGAAAGAATGGGAGATCACTGGACATTGTTACTCTATGAAGTCACAGCTGACCGTGGACTCTATCCCAGCCACCACTGAGGGATGCCGGACAGGTCCCACCCAAATTCCCGAGGGCACCACTGTATTGGAGAAGAAATAGGAATAGCCCTTCCAGAATGTCCATCTATTGCTCCCCCGTTTACAAGGGAAGAAGCTGAGGCCCAGAGGCTGAGCAAACTGCCCAGGAGCTGATGTTCCTCAAGATGGCTGTGAGTCATCCAAGTAGGTGGCGGGTCTCCTGTTCAACCGCACTTGGGGAAAACCTGCTATATTCGATCTTGCTAACTTAGGTGGGGAAAAAAAATCATGACTTTGACGGAAAAACGTTTCTCGTGACAAACGACTATATAGAAAGTTTCTCTGCCTAAAGGAGTAAGCTTCGGTTGATTGCAAAAAATAATCGACTATGCAGAAGAGCTTATTTCCCCACCCTCCCCCCAAATGTCACTCAAATGAGGTATTCCCGGTCCGCATGTCACACAGGGAGAAAGTTTAGGGGACTTAATTCTAAGAGGTGGTACAGGATGGAAACAGACACAGACCATTATTGATTGAGATTTGGGTGAGTGCACAGATTATTCAACCTGACAAGGTATTAAAGGAACATGGAATGGGGGGAGGGAAGGAGGGGACCTCTGTCACCAATGCTGCCACCTGGCAAGGAGTAGCCTTGCTAGCCCCCGGAATGATGCCAGAAAGTAGACAGAAGCCTGCATGGATGTGACCTACCCTACGGAGCAACCTCCTAGCCTCTGGCTGAGCACACGGTCTCTGGGGGCTCTCGGGGCGCCCAGCTTCCTAGCCCTGCTTGCAGGGAGCTCCTTGAGTGCTCAGCAGGGCAGTGCTCCCATCATGCCCACCCCAGATCTCCATCCACACCTCCGTGAGGGTGGGTGCTATGGTGCGTCCCTCCCAAATCCATATGCCGAAGCCCTAATCCCTAGCGTGATAGCATCTGGAGGTAGGAGGGCCTTTGGGAGGTAATGGGATCATGAAGGTGGAGCACTCCTGATAATACTAGGACACAGCAAGAAGGCAGTCATCTACAGACCAGGAAGAGAGCCCTTGCCAGGAGCCAAACTGGCCGGCACCTTGGTCCTGCACTCCCCAGCCTCCCAACTGGGAGAAGTAAATGTCTATAGCTCAAGCCACCCAGCAGGTGGAGTTCGGTTACATCAGTGAGCAAGCCACTTCACCGCTCTGAGCAGCAATCCGCTCTCCTGAAAAATGTGACATTACGTCTCCTTCCTGCCTCCCACCCTCCCGCCCTTCCTTCCATCTCTGCCATGGGTACCAGGAGTCCCAAGCCAACAAGCAGAGGCAAGAGACCCGGAGGTGTCCAAAGCCCTAAACAGATTTATGTTTTATAAAGAACCCAGTACAGCTGCCATCACATGGTTCCCCCAGGGTCACCCTGCTCTTGAGCAGATGACAAACTGCCCTGGGCCACCGGAGATCAGGTAGGGGACGGTCACACCAGCGCTGCAAAAGACTGGGCTTTGGGTTAATAATACTTTCCTAATTACGAATAAGTCAATGAGCGTGACTTAGGGAAGACAGGGAGGGGGAGGGGAAGCCAGCCCCAGCCCCACGACTGCGTGCCCAACCCCTAGCACGGTTTGGCACATTGCGGGCACTCGAGAAACGTTTGCTGAATGCAACAGACAGGGGGCCCAGACAGAGCATCCGCACTTAAGGATTAGGGACTTCTTGACGTCCAGACGCATGTCTGGGCTCGAGGCTAGCGGGTCTAATCCGGCTCTGCATCCGTGAACATTTGTTTCCCATGAATCCTTCACCCGAGCAAGGAAGACTCACATTGTAGGTCATGTTAGCCTCACTCTAGAACTCACATGATGCTTGGAAGCATCAAAATTCCATAATCTGTCTCACACACACACACACACACACACACATGCAAAGTACCATGTGTCCTGGCTCCAGAGCGGGAATCAGCCTGTCTCAACAGGAGCCAAGGACCCTCCCGGGGCTGGGTGCCCTCACCCTGGGTCCAAGGGACTCAGGAGACAGCTGCCTCCTGCCTGAGCCCCCTCAGCTAAGATCTGATTTTCTCATCATCTGGATAGTCTCAGCGACTCGCAGCAAAGGGATGAACCAGGCTGACCTTTCTGGAGGTTTGTTTAAAGCAGAACAATGTTTGTCTTGTCCAAACACTATGAATTACTCCAGAGAATCCTGCCCAGTTTTACAATTCACAGCTACAAACGGCTTACATAAATAGGGGCTCGTCCCCTCCTTCCCCCCCCACCCCGTTTTTAACAGCTTCTCCTCCCCCCGCTTCCACTCTTCAGGACTTGCCCCTGCCCCCCTCACACCTTCTCTCCTCTGAGCCCCAGCCTGGTGAAGGGGCAGGTGTCGGATACTCTGGACCACAGGTCACACCTGGGTTATTGCTGGCACGGATCCCCTATGGTGGGTGGGCTGCTCTCTCTGTCCCTGGTGTGGGCAGGGGTTTGCCTTGCTAAGGGAGGGGGGCCCCTCTGGGCACATTTGTACTGTGGGGTGGGGGGCGCTGTGGTGCACAGTGTTAGATCCAGCTGTGAAAGCGTGTTGGTAAGAAAAGGCTCCTGGGTTTGGGGGGTTCGACATCCAGCGCATTTAGACCATCCTCATCTGGCGGGGTGTTCAGCTCATCCACGGCTTTTCCTTCTCAGGCTGCACGTTGAGGGGGCGGGAATCCCCCAGTATCTCCTAGAAATAGACCCCCCCCTCCACTTCAGGCCTCCCATGGGGTAGGAGACAGTAAATGCTGCTCAAATATGAAGCACAGAAAGTGAGCAGGGGCATGGTCTTGGGAAAGGAGGGTCAGCTGGGGACAGAGCCCAGTTTCCTAAATTATCTCCCTAAATATAGTCCTTACACCACCTGCACCCAAATGCTTTGGGAAGCTTGTTTAAAATGCAGATTTCTGGGCCCCTCCCCAGGCCGAGGGAAGCTCTCTCTGGGGTAGGGCCCCGGGCTGATGCCAGAGTCTGAGAAATCCTCTCTAGCTCAAGTCCTCTGACTAAACTCGCTGGATGACCCCAGCAAGCCACTCCAGGACTCACGATCACCACCTGCACGGCGGCCCCAGACTCTGAAAAGACCCTCCCTGCTCTCAGATGGTGTGTTTTCAGGGACAGCTGGGTACTAGAACCCAGAAGCAGCAAGGGTGGGTGGAAGCAGCCTGAGACAAATTTTGGGGAGTCACTGAAGCTCCCAGGAGAGGTGCTGGTGAAGATTTGGACAGATGCCAGGGGAGGGTGAGGCCAGACTGGTGGTTGGGGGTGTGAGTGGTGTGTGGGATCCTTGTACTGAGGGTCCCCACTGGGAGCCAAATGCGATTTCATCTTTGCTTTGCAGACAGGGAAACTGAGTCACAGTAGGGAGGAGTGACTTCCACCCAGCAGCTGGTGAAGAGGCATGGGATGCCCTCCCCTATACACCCTGGGACACCCATCTGGCAATCCCAGAAAGACCCCTTCTCCCCCAGCTGTTTCCCTTGTCATTCTAGCCTCTAAGAGGTTGGCTCTTAGGGCCACAGCTCCTTCTAGCTCCTTCTCTTCCTTTGATGGGAGGGTCCCACTGGGCGGAAGGGCCCAGAGCCAAATCTGCCCCTCGAGGCGGACGCAGGGTGAGCCCCAACAGCAGGAATATCAAGTGCCCGGAGCTTCACCCTGGAGAGAGCCAAGCCAGCCCTGCCCACCCGGAGACCCCACAGCCGGGCTGGGGGCGCTGTCGGTCCGCGGTCCGCCGGGTCAGGGCTGCGGCTGAAGCGCACGATCCCGCTCGGCCGGAGGGAGGGCACAGGGCGCCGCCAGGGAAAGGCCCTTTCAGAGCTCGAAGACCGCTTGTGCGCAACACTCGCGGGGACCTCGGGTCGAGAGGAGGTCAGAGGATCAAGCCACTGGAACTCAGCGAGTGCACCAGGGCAGCCCCTAGGGTCTGGGCAGGAGTGGCCAGCTGGAGGCCGCGGAGGGCACGGTGTCCCCTCTCCAGGTCCCCGGGGAGACGGAGCTGATACCGCCGGGAACCCAGAATCAAGCGCCTGGTGAGGGTCGGGATTCCGGGAGAGTGGGCCCTGTTTCTACGATCTACGTACGCTTGTGCATTGGATTCCATCGACAATTCGGGAGATCCAGAAGCTTGCTGCGTGACCTCGGGCACGCAACGGACCGCTCGGGGCCGCGGGCCCTCCTCTTTTGCGAACCGCGGGGTTCGGGACGGATGCTCCCCAAGCCCCAGCTCCAAAGTCCGCGCCTTGAATTAGCGGCACCTCCTTCTAGTTTAGCATTCGATTCTCTAATCAAGCTCTTTGTCCCCTGCGGCCTTAACCCGAGCCCCCAGCTTCCCCGTCTCCCTCGACCCCCGCCCGGGTCTCGCCCTCGCCCGACTTTCCCGTCGAAGGGCCTCGAGTGAGTGATTCCCGGGAGCCGAGGCCGAGGCCGGCGGGTCCGCGGCGCGGGCCGGGGCTGTATGGAAATGGCCAGAGAAGCCGGCGGGCGCGGCGGCGATTTATTCTGGGAGTGACAGCCCCTTTGAGCGCTCAGCGAATGGCATTTTCTGTCTGTGAAAGCCTTTCTTCCCACCTCTGTTCAGATTAGCCCGGGGGATGAATGCGCCCATTATCCAGCCCGCTGACCATTCTGAAACGCCAAATTAATTACTAAGCACTGAATCAGGCGCCGGGGCCGGGGCACCGGGAGGTGTGAAAATAGCGAGCGGCTGGAGCTGGGGAAGAGGCGAGGGGCGCAGCGCCGAGAGGCCGGGCGGGGTGGCCCGGGGCGCG